TACTACAATTCCGCGCTCATTTAAGATAATCTTGTTCAGTCTATGGAATGAAAAGGAATTGTTTTGAGAAATGTTTTCTACTGAAGAAATAAGAATATCTGTAGACTAAAAGTCAGCGAGATGCGTTTTTGACGTAAATAGTGAGTTGTGACGAATCATCTCAAAAGCATTGAAGGAACAGTTCGATGTGTTTCAGTTGACCAAGCACAACATTTCCTAGAAGACTGAAAGAAAAATGTACTCGAATACAAAATAGATCTAGAAAAAAGGAACATCCAAAACAATACCATGAATATATTGGAACACTCATTGGATGTTAATGATATCGGCTGCATGAATTTTGCCAATGCTGATTCAAAATAGTCACGAACTATCATCCTTCAGTTCGACACTAAACACTGATGGAATAGTGTTCCGTTTTACTCATGCTTATTATAAGACAGAATTTCTAGTAGAAAAGTGTTGTATTTTACTTTTGTACTGATTTGTTTGGTCTAGTATGGAACGAATCGGCACAAGATACGAAAACTACTAATCATCAGGTTTCATAGGTCTAAGTTTGCACTTTGTTGTGCACTTGACTGTACAATCAGACAGCTTACAGTGAAAAGAGCTTCTCGAGCCGAACGATAAACGCTTGAGAGTGAAGTGATAAACGGCTAAAGCGCAGAATGGAAGTCAGAAAACCTCAGGGCAAACGAAAAAGTCTAAATAAACGCTCTGGCTGATGCCGGGAAACCCTTTCTTGTGCTAGAAATGCTGAACGTTAGAAAATGTTTCGTCTCATAAACGAAAAAAAGATTTAATCTTTGTTCATGAACCTTTTGAAGGTATCTGATCGATTTCTGGAACCGATAACGTTCACTAGAACACTTTTTTTTTATAGCGTAGCCACTGGTCAAGACAATGTTTTTCTAAGATTATTACAAGCTACTTACGACGATCTTTTCGAGCTTAACTTGGAAACTAGTTGTTCGTTAGCAAACTCTGGCTTGCGCTCTCACTGAATCGCGGTTAAGTGCTTTTGTAGCTACTGTGTCGGCCGGTTTGAAGACGAGTCGATGATTATGTTCACGTCTCATTCTAACTTGAATGTATTGAAAGAATGCAAACATTGGTTTGTGGACGGCACCTTCACTGTAAGCGCACCCATTGTCACTCGTTGTAACTCATGCTGTTTGGTTAGGTATGCCCAGCGAAGTTTTTTCAGCTATTTACTACACATGGCCTCGAGAAGCGGATGATGGGCTACGAGTATGGATCTCAATCGATTCTGCTCGAGTTAGATTATTCGTGTGAGTGATCTTGTCTAGCTTTTCAGATCGCCTTCCCACTTTAGCCAATGCGCGTGGGGACTAGTGCAATCACTAGGCCTCCAGAATAGATACGCCAATAGCCAATCATTTCGATTAGCAGTGAATAAATCAATCGCACTGGCCTTCGTACCCGTTGCTGACGTTGTACAAGCTTATTCGTCTCTTTTCTGTGATTTTGATCAAGAAGCCGATGCCTTGCTTGATTACTTTGAGAAATTCTGGGTTGGGGAAAAGAAAACGAGTGGTGAGTATATTACTAATTACTATCGGATTGCCCTTCTCTCCTATTGACATGTGGAACGTCTGTGACCAAGTTTTGCGCAATTTACCCCAATCGAATAACTCAATCGAAGGGTGGTATCGTGCGAGTACAGTCGAAATTTGAATTGGACATTGAACGAATTCGAGTTAGCCAAGAACCGAAACCAAAGCGACGTGTGGCCGCTAACGTCAAACTGAGCTCCTAAATTTTCATTAACTTTTATCGAATACACGAGTTAAACAGTGCCTTACAAAAACGTTGACTGCAATGTTGCAATTTCCTTCGTAATGGATTGGAACGATCGTCTCAGTGGGAATTACTATAGAGGGGCATAGTGTACGCGACGAGCTCAGTTCGGAACAGATTATCAGGGACTGAAATGAATGAGATGTAGCTCACTCGAGGCAAAGTGACTGCCGGACACAATGATTGAGACAGAATAGACTCGCCAAATGACTCATCAATTGATTGAAATCAATATCTAAGTGAGAAAAATTCCTAAGGATCGGTTTCAACTGACACACTGTGGAAAGCAAAAGTTGTCGCGCATAACCGTGCATATACAGGTTTGTACCTCTCATGAGAATTATACCGCTGACTTAGTATGTGGGTTTCGCTTCATTTCTTTTTTTCCTGAATAAGATAATTACTGAGTCCAAGTGTTTATGCGTGTGGTAACATAAATATACGCGTATATGACAAGGACGTATGATTGTAGAACGTGTCAATCAATCAAACAAAATTATACTCCACATTCTTCGTTGTGACTAACCATGATAAACAGAAAATTCGTTGTATTGACTCACTCATAGCTGCGACCATACCATATTCCTTCCAAGTTTGTTTGATTCTATCTAGCAACCTGGAAGTGTAGTGAACATGTGCGATTTACTAAGCGCTTGTACACTTTCTAGATTCGAGCCATCAGCGAAGCATGCTTCACAAAGTAGCAATCATCATGGGTTCAATGCGTCCTAACAACATCTGTACCCGCATTACCAAATGGGTTGAAAAGACGATTGAATCCTTCAATGAAATTGAATTATCAGTCATAAACTTGGCCGATTGGAAACTTCCTTTTCTCGACGAGCCAGGCATTCCTGCTGCTCATCCTTATCAACACGAACATACCAAAGCCTGGAGTCAACGCGTACTACTTGAAGATGGCTTTATCTTTATCACTCCGCAATACAATTGGGGTTATCCAGCTTCTCTCAAAAATGCCATTGATTATCTTTACAAAGAATGGAATGGCAAAAATGCTCTCATAATCAGTTATGGTGGACATGGTGGAAATAAAGTTGCAGCACAATTGAAGGAAGTGTTGGAAGGTGGATGTAAGATGAAGATCGTGGATAAAATGCCTGGTATTGTCTTGAGTCATGAAATAATTAGGGATCAAATCAGAATAGATTTAGACAAACACTTTCAACCATACGCTCAAGATATTCAACAGGCTATCGAACAACTCATTGCAGCTCTCAATGCAAAGTTAAGTGGCAAAATGTGACAAGGAAAACTGACGTGAAGACTGGTTTCACGCACAGATTTCGTTTCAGCCTGGTTTGGTTTAAGCCTGTAATCTTGAACCAGAACGAGATTTCGTTTCGTTTTCCAACGCTTCGCCTCTTCTATGTTCATCACTGACTGTTCAACGACATCTACAACTCGTCTTCACTTTCAGAATTTGTAGCTAATTTTTGTTGTTTTCGTTCCAATTACTTTTTCCCTCTGATCTAACGGCCAAGGAAAAAAAAGTGCTTCCTTTCGTGATTCTTAGACGTTTTTGATTAAATGCAGACCTCTGCATGTAATCAAATCACTACTGTAGTCTAAGTGCATTTAGAATGTTTCCACCTCAAATTTATTTTGAATGGGTAATTATTGATTGCGATTCTTTTGCAATGTATTTAATGCAAAGTGATGCTGCCGATCAAAAACGTCTAAGGTCTAGCAACAGCATCCCTTGGCCGTTAGATCACTCTCTCGATTGTGATATATTGTTTGTGTGTGTTCGCGTCGATCACTTATTGTGCCTTTTCTGTTTTTGTTTCTCATTTGTAATAAACAGTTCACTTTATAGATCAAACTTAAGCAGATCATAACTTCATAGTATCTTTGAAAAAAACACTTGAATATGTATATTGGACTTATCAAGGCACTGTCGTAAACCACCAACCCTCAGCATCCAAATCTGTTTATTTCGATAACGAGAGAATCTCCCCCACTGTCAAATCGCTTTAGAACAAAAACCGCTGGGATGTTGTTATCGACTAAACTCATCCCAAATATCTCTGTATCAGCGGCTGCTAGGTCCTTCGCGACCAGTTTTCTCAGCCACGAAAAAACTTCTGCCACTAAAAACTATGTTCGAACTGACCATCTATATACTAATATCCAGTGTGTGTCTGTTATCGGGTCAAAGGTCAAAGCTCAGATAGAAGAAGCTGCTGAAAATCGGGTTTTCAAAAAAGGGTTTTTCAAAGGTAATTGGATGTGAGGAGTTCGAATCTGGGACCATTCACCTCGGAACCCCATTGGTGGACTAACAACCAATGAAAATCGACGCATGCGTTCTCAAAGTTTGGCATGTTGTACTTTAATTCTCAGTGGCAAGCGCTATGATAAGATCAAATCTTGCTGTCGAAGTTGAATTTTTTCGTGCAAACTCCGTGACTTTTAGCTGAGCGAAGTTTTTTTTCAATCGTGGTTCACCGAGTCAAACGTATTACTATCTTATGTCACATATCTATCTCTACGATAGCATCATGTGAACAATCACTAATCAATCACAGATTATCTCGCAAGAATTTGTTTCAGCTATTAAGCTTAAAAAAGGCCGCTAGAGTAGACATATCGCACGATCTAGCATTGCTATGAGCTGTGACGAGGGTGAGGTTAGTGCTCTTCTTATCCAGTACATCAGGAAAGAACTGAGCAGTTCCATTCATGTGTAGAGAAAGAACTGGTTCAGATTTAGAATTTGTAGATCAAATAACTAGACTTGCTCAAAAAAAGATCTAATCTCTCCGATCTACTAAGGTCGAAGCGGTCACACACCAGCGCAAAGAAGCATCTTCCAAGAAAGAGCAAGCGGAATAAAAGGATGCGCGTTATTCGACGTCAAAAGTTCTTTTATCCCTGCGCGGTGTGCCTAGCTTCTGAAACCACATAAACAGTATAGCAAAGCATCAGGTTCTATGAGAAAACTGTGCAAAACTGACATGTTATAGACCATTGATTAACAACTTACATCGCAGGCTCGGAGCCGTCATTTTCACCCATTCGAAAGCTAATAAGCAAGTCGAGACGATATGATGTAGC